CCCCCTGCAATTTTACAGCTCTAACCCTAGATTTTCCAACACAGACATGACACAGTTAGCCAAACTTTCACCTGTATAGCTAGTAATGGGCTCAAAACCCACAAAGCGTTCAACAACACTGCCCTCTTTGCTAACAAAACGGAATATGAATGTCAATTGGTCCACATGAGATAAATCTGGGGTTGAATCCACAATGATAGAGTAGTATTTGCTTGCTTGCAGTTCATCTGCTATAGCCTGTTTGGTTTTTGCACCCATCAATTCAATGAATTCCTCACAAATGGTGGAGGACAGATATGAGGTATTACCTCGACCCATCTGCCCAAACTTTCTGATGTGATCCTTTAGAAAGGGATCAAATTCAGCCAGGACCTCCAGAATACCAAGGTAGTTCCCATTGAGAGGAGACCCTAACGATTCATTTTTACCCCTAAATGCAAGGCCCCTTTCTGCAAGGAATTTAATGACTGCAACAACTCTTTGTAACACCTGCCTCCAATAGCTGCTCTCTGCCTGAAACTGTTTGAACAGGTCTGCATCAACTGTGGCACCTTTGGCGCGGTTCAAGACTGCTTGCATGCAGGTTATGTGCTCAGCACTTCGCTCATGTTCACCAAATCTTTCTGAGTGTTTCCAATCACAATAGCCTATCACAAAAGAATGCGTTTTTGGGGAAAACAGTTTGCATGCAAAGCAGTAAACATTACCAGTAGAGGGAGAGTACATCAGCCACTCTCTTTGTACTCGTTTTCCATTGGGCAAGTGTGAAGTAAAATGTTCATTGTTTAGGCATCGGGTTTTGCCTCCTAGCCCACTGTTCCTCACAGAAGCTGGATAATGGCTGTGACGGTTGTGAAATGAGTTTGCACCTCTTTGAATAAGAACTTCCTTCATTGACTCAGTGAGGGTCTCAGCCCATTTAGCGGGATCACTAGGTAGAGTTGCCACTGTAGATGGTGTTGAAGAAAGATTCAGCTCATTTTCTATGCTGTCCAGAGGTGCAGTGACCTCACATTCATCCGAGCAACTGGCTACTGCTGAATTGGTTGAATCATAAGCATCAGAACCATTTGGTTCAGTGTCTACACTTGTAGTGGTCTCATGATCTTGGGAGCTACATGCTAGCTCAGGTGCATTGCTAACCTTAGCTGAATTTGCAGTAGCATTTATAGAATTGCTTTCAGCAGATGTCTTTGTACTGAAGAAGCTGGAGATATTTGGAACACTCTCAAGTAAAACTGATTCCTTTTTTTTCTTTTCTTGCTGAATTTTTTTTCTAGCTCCTCCACTTAAACGTTTATGATCCATATTTCCCTTCTTTCTTTGCACATTGGCTCTTTGCCTATCACAACAGATAAACCAACTATGTGTGTGTGTGTGTGTGTGTGTGTGTGAGTTTGTTTGTGTGTTTATGATCGGTGCTGCTTCCTTCAAGTGTGTGAGGTGATTTAGAAAACTAGCAACCCAGCATCAACACTCCAAAGCAGAGAATAACAGCTTACTAGCATAGACAATTGAGAGCAGAGAATCAACTGATTCGTCTGATAGACAGCAGGAGAGCAGAGTGGTCAGTGATGATCGAATCAAGAAAATGTCTAAATGGCAAGGGAACAGACTGATTTGTACTGAGGAGAAAGAGAGAGAGAGCCAATTACAGTGAAATATATTCCAAAAGAGCCAAGTGACTAGCTGAAGGCAGGGACAAATGCCTTGGAGTGACCAACAAGAGTGCAAAGTACCAAATGGCAAAATGTGGGAAGACCAACAGGCAGATCTGCTTTTACCACTTATCTTCACAACCAAAAAGTCGCTAAATGATGTTTTTAGTCGCTAGCCAGGTATGGCCAAAAGACACGAAATCTAGCGGCAAAGTCGGTCAATCACACTGACAGTGAAACAAATATTTTGAAAAGATAATAATTGTACAACTTTGTGCACTTTTGTCTTCTATCTAAATATTTTCACAAAGGACACCAAAATGTTGCTATCTGCAGGCAGCTTGCTAGCTATGATGGCAGCAACGATGTCTTCCAGACAGGAGAGAGTGGTCAGTGACGATCGAATCGAGAAAATGACAAAATGGGTCAAAGACCAAAAAGTTATTAACTGACAGCAGTGACAAATGTCAGACTGTAAACTTTTTCGAAAGAAAAGGACAAAATGGGAAGATGCTGATAGTAACAGCAAAATGGAAAATATAAGAATTTCCAAGTAATGCTCAACTCAAGTGTGTGTGTGTGTGTGTGTGTGTGTGTGTGTGTGTGTGTGTGTGTGTGTGCGCGCGTTTAACTTCTTGTTGAATGATTTCAAATTATCTCTGAGTCTGAACTGAGGGAAAGGAAACCAAATTTTGAGCAGTCTCTCACGAGTTCAAAATACCAAATGAGGAGATTCTAAAAGAACAGACCGGTTTATGAAAGACTCGATGGGGGAGGGGCACAGCTAAGAATACTTGAGTGAGATTCTGTGATCCAAATTCGAGATAGAGCTTTTTGATAATGATAATTTGTCAGAGTAAGGTTGTGTAATCAAAATTTGAGAATGAGCTTTGTCAATCAATCAAGAATATTTGCATTAAGTTCTGTGATCAAAATTCAGAAACAACCTTTAATAATTGATAAAGAATATGTGAGTGAGGTTGTGTGATCCATCCAATTTGAGAATTAGCTTTAATAATAATGATTGAGAGCCTCTGGCCCTCTGTGGATCATGGCCGCGGGGCCAATTTTGCCTGGCCCCTTGGGGCCTCTGTGAGTCGTGGCCGCGGGGCCAAGTTGACCTGGCCCCTTGGGGCCTCTTACCCTCTATGGATCGTGGCCGCGGGGCCAAGTTGGCCTGGCCCCTTGGGGCCTAAGATTATTATTTTTGCAAAAGTAGTTTTGCTTGGGTCGCGGCCGCGGGGCCAAGTTGGCCTGGCCCCTTGGGGCCTCTGGCCCCCTGGGCCTGGGCCCGGTAGGCCCGGTCATTAATCCACCTATGTGTATACATGTACCAAGCGTTGGATCAGATTAAATCTTTTAAGCATGCGCAGAACTTCCTGCCAAACTTGGCAGTTCTGTCTGCGTCTGGTTTTTGGGAGGCCTGTCAAACGATGTGCTCGGAGCGAGCGGAAAGAAAAAAGGAGAGAGGAGGAAAAAAGCGCTTGGCAGCGAAATGTCCGAGAGAAAATGTAGAGAATGAGCGATTGAACTGGCGTGGGAGAGCGAGTGGGCTGTGGAGAGAGAAAAGAGGAAGAGGAGGAGGATAAATTCCTGCTTCCTGCAGCTTTAAATGAACTTGAGTGTATAAGTCGGCGTTCCTAGACTCCCCCCGCCATGTTGTTCACAGCGAGAGCGACCGGTGGTTTCCTGTTGTTGACAAGGCGGAAAAACGTCACGCTGACGTTGCACACATGCGCAGTGAAGATTATTTTACTCTTAAGATCCGAATGGGTGTTTACATGGACGCCAATCGGAATGGCGATCGGCAAAAACCACCTCTCTCATTCGGAATTAAATTTAGATCCGATCGGACCGAATCGGATTAGAATCTTCAGTCTGACATGTTTACATGAAACATTTTTGATCTGATCAGGCCTTCAATCCGATTAGTTGTGTCCATGTAAACGTAGCTAATGGCAGGGCTAACGAGCTGACAAGGAGCAGGTGTTTGAGGAGACAACGAGGGAGCCAAGGGGAAAGGAACACACACAAGAGGGCAACAGAGGAAAACAACAGAAAAAACAGAGAAATTACATAAAACTAGAAACTACAACAAAATAGGAATTCAACCAATAAAACTAGAAAACAAGGAGCAAATTAAAGCACAACATAACCAAAACCATGACACTGTTGCCATAACGACCGACAGACAGACAAACAAATGGGCAGACGGATATGGAAAGCGAATTACCTAAAAAATGAGCAAGAACATAAAAACAATGGAGAAATGTAGAGAATACAATTAGTTCACAGTATATTTACATAAATAGTTGTTGCATTGTTGTTTGTCGCAAAGTACAACAGAAAACTCACCCGAGGGCGTAGGGGTAGATTTGTGTGTTTGTTTATATGTGAAGGCCTGTTATTGACTGTTCAACGGTCTGGGGACTGAAACTGTTGCAGAATCTGGTGGTTCTGCTCCGGAACCTTCTGCCAGAGGCCAGCAGATCACTGGCAGACAGTGGCTCTGATATATGGCGACCCTCTGTGGGTCACACACACAAAAAAAGTCCCCGTGATTTTCTTTTCTTCACCGCTCTTTGGAAAGCCTTCCAGTCTGCAGCAGTGCAGCCAGCAGGCCACATTGAGATGCAGCTTGTCAGCACGCTCTAAATGGTTCCTCTGTAAAATGTGGTGAGGATGGGAGGGGGAGCTGAGCAGGAACCACAGGCGGCCCTCTTTTCACCGGAACTCCTCTGTATGATTGTTAAAGGACAATCATTGGCCATAACTTCTGTGTAAACTGTGTTTCTGTTTTCTTCACAATGATTTTCAGTTGGTTCGTCCAACAGGTTTTCAGTTTCTGGTCCGTCGTCTTTTATGTGCAGTGGCTCTGATAGAGTTAAGGAACACAGAATGTGTGATATGTTGAGAAAAAATTCTCATGTTGTTTATATCATAAAGCACTGACTCATTAAAGTGGGTGAAAACACGGATTGATCAGTGTGTCAGTGGGTTGACTTTTTCCACAGGTTTTAACGTAGCAGAGCCACAGGTGAGGCTGCATTGGACTCATTTTGCTCTACTTCTACTTGGATTAAAACCCAAAGGATCTTTTAGCGGCTCCCGCAGCCCTGATTTATTAACCAACCTCTATATGCATGCACACTCACACAAAGAAGGCATGTGCTGAAGGTGTTAGCAGAGCTCAAATAATCCCAGCAGGTGCCTGGTTTTTCATTGTCCCACTGAGAAAATCCTGATTACTGATGAAAGTGAGGGAGAGAGAGCGAGTGTTTGTAGGTTAGTGAAAGATTGCTGTGGCTGTGGATAAGAGGATTTGGGTGGAATTAGTGTCATTCCTCTATCTCCACGAGGAATAGATTCATATCAATTTTAATCAGAGAAAAACAGAACTGGCAGATTCACAAGCAGAGTGTAGAGGAGTGGACAGAGAAGAAGGAGAATTCAGAAGAGGGAGAGATCTGAGAACATGCCTCCAAGGTTCCCTCATGTCTTTGCCCTGCTGTGAAGTTTCCCTTTCAACCAGGGGCTCCGCAGAGGAGGAGACGACCAGCCGCTGTGGGATGTTGGACCAGAACCTCTGGCCCTGAGCGTGGATGGTCTGGCTGTCGATTCCTGGAGGTGGAGCAGGGAGTGGCTGGGATGCTGCAGTTGTGTCGGACTTGGCAGGGAGACCTGTGAAAAATGAAGGTGGACGTGCTGACTTGCCTTACTCTGATAGCGGCCGGCTTTGTTGCCATGGTGACCTGCGGCCGCAGCTCCAACCGCAGGAGACAGAAGGAGGTTTTCCTCGGAGAGAACAGCAAGTTCAAGTTTGGAGGGTGAGAAGGACAGGTTCAAGTGATTGAGATTTCAGAACTCCTTTAGTAGAGCTGTTCACTCTGACTAGATGACTTGACTTGAATACACTTGATACTCTCATTAAAATAAAATAAACATACACAATATTTATAGTAAAAATTAAGATGTTAATCAGTCTTTAAGGGATATCTTTTTATGCATTATTACTGACTTAAAATTTAGACCACTTGTTACTCTTGCATTATGAGTCGACTTGTAACCTGTAAAGTTTGAGTGACGGAAAGTAATGACTTGGTCCCACCTCTGTCCTTTAGCACAGTGAATAAAACATCCAGGAAGCAGTGGCAACAACAGTGGCAGATGGAGACATCATATCTCTCTAATCTCCCTCAAAGTGAACCATAAAGCAAACATAAATGCCACATTTCCATTATGTTACATCTCCTGTTTGGGATTTGACAGATGCGCTCCAACCACATCGCATCAGTCTGGCGGAGCAGGGTTTTAGAGGCGCTGAATGGAGAATTAGCTTCAGCAGCTGTCAAAGCTGCACTCTAGAACTTCCAATTTCTGTGTTTCATTCAAACCAAAGCTGAAAAGGTTCACCCAGTGCTAATTAGGGATATAATCATGTTGTAAATCTGTGAGCGTTTGACATTTTTACGCAGCTAGAGATAAAAAGTAGTAGAGTTTTTATCAGGCTTGATTTTACTGGAAAATTAGCAAACAGGAAGAACAATATAGTGAGATATAGACTAATTGCTTAATGAATAAACCTTGGTGGTACTTTATCAGGGAGCTTAGAGTATCTACATGAAAGATAGACATAGAAACTAAGTCAGAATAAAATAATACTGCATCTTTCATGTAACTATATACCTGATTTGTATGATTAGAAAAAAATTATTGTACCTAAAGTAACTATATGAAAACAGCAAAAAATGTACTTTTACTGTAGATTGATAAAATGATAAGTACAGTAGGATGAAAATAATCTAAATGTTTATTAAAGCTTCTTATTGCTACTATTAGCTAGATGGCTAGCTGTGGTAATCACGATAAGGCTGTTTTCTATTGGCTCATTATACTGTCATGTTTAATTTACGGCAGTTTATTTCATTTTATAAAAATTGTGGGGTTTTTTTAATGTAACTCTGTCTGACATTTTCTAAAATACTCTCATTTTTGAGTTGGATTTCACATCAAGAATAAAGAAAAAAAAAAAAAAAGCCCCTGCAGAAATGGTAAAAGTTCTGATGCCTAAAATATTGTGTAAACCATGAAAAGATGGATAATGCCCATTGGATTAAAAGGTTTTGTTTAACTTTAAATAAGTCAACTGGTAGCAGAAAAGCTAAAGTGTAGGTAAAATTTTTTTGCCAAGCTTAAGTCAGTCAGTATAAGTATTTTTCCCTTTTTTTTTTTTATAGTTGGAAGGCTTGTTAATAGATAAAAATAAAAAACATACCAGTAAAATGCATGGGCATAAAGTATTTTTATGCAGCTTAGCATGAGCTAATAGCAAGTTCTGTGATTTCCTGCAAAAAACACAGCAAAGATTCCTGATTTAACTTCTTTATTATAAAAAAACCTGTTGGAAGATTCACAATGAGTCCATTTCTCATTTTCAGTCAGTATGTGGTCATTTTTTTCCCCTCTTGTCGGCTTTTTTCTTCCTCTCCTGTTGTCCGTTTTAAGTGCAAAGATTCCAACTTTTATGTTTTCACATTTTGATAAATAATGCATTAATAACTTCTATTCCAGTAGAAATATGAAGACTTGTTTTTTTACTGTATTAATAAGTTCCAATAGAAGTACAAAACAAAACCTGCTGTTAGACACAAAGTCAGTAATCATAATAATGGCTCTATGTCTGATTAAACATTACTTTATTACACACGTGCATCAACACAGTTTGGTTCGGTGTAATAAAAAGCACCTTTTACTGCTTGTTAAGCTGATAGCAGAGGCCCAGCATGATTGGATGGAAAATATACGTAAAAGCATTGTTGTTTTATTTAATGGCCCTGTTGCAGCTTAAGATAACAGGTCTACCTTGACCTATAAGAGAACCAAGCCTTCAGTGTTAGAAAGTCACATGATCACAAACTAAAGAGCTGTTGGAGAAGAGTAAAGCAGAAAACCAACTCTGCATTAAATCCACGTCCAAAACAAAACCCAAATAACCTGAAGTCTAATCAAATAAATTGAATCGGCTTTTTTTTTTATTAGTAAGGTTTTAATAGTTTTGTTTTTTATTTGAATTTAGTTTTATTTAGCCGTAACTATTTTTTCTCATCCTGTATAGTAGCTATTATTTCCACTGCTTAGTTTTAGGTGTTTCTAGTCTTAGTTTTAGTTTTATGTCAGCTGACTTTAACTGAGTCAAGCGGACAGCAATGTAGCCAGAGTCTAGAACAGAAGGATCTACAGAACATCTCCTCTGTCTGTGTAACGCAGGGGTCTGCAACCTGCGGCTCCAGAGCCACATGTGGCTCTTTGGACCCTCTACAGCGGCTCTTAATTTTGACTAGAATGTATAAAAAGACCTAAATAATGTACTATAAAATAAATACCAGCCTTAAAAGTTTTAGTGGTTTTATAAGATGGATAAGAAGGACATTAAAAGAACCAGAAGTATGCTTTTAATTAGCTTTTAATTAGTTTATTTTAATATTATTTCAAAAGCTAGAAATACATAAGTTGTTGGTTGTTTAAGATGACAACAAATTGCCTATACGAGATATTAACAAAAAAAAAAATTGGTTGTTTTTTGACAAAGTCATACTTTGCGGCTCTAATCAACTTTTAATTGGTCAGACTCGGGGAAAAATGGCTCTGTGATTATGAAAGGTTGCAGACTCCTGGTGTAACGGGTCGGTCTGAGCGCCTCATTGGGGTCAGATGTGTTATACAAAGCAATTAGTGATTGGTGATTATTAACAAATAGAACTTGATGGAGAATTTAGGTCTTTTCAAAGCTGATTTTAAGGCCATCTAGCAAAAGAAGCACAAATTAACACAGAACCAGAACCAGAGCAAAATCACTCCAAACTATTCATGTTTATCTGTTACACACTGCTTCCACCAGGGGTTTGGGGAAATTTGTATTTCTTAACAAAAGGTTTCAAAGACAGTTATTCTGCCTGTTTTATCCTCAATTTGTTCTCCTTTAATGTGTTCATTTGTTTCATTTCCACTATTTATATAGCTCATGGTTCTGCTTCATAAAACAGGAGAGGAAACAGTTTAGAGGTCCTGTTTGTGTCCGTTTCCTATTGTTGAAAATGTCCAACATCTGTTTAAGAGACTTTTTACTGCTTAGTTCTAAAGTCTAAGATCAACAGCATAAATGGACCTTTGGGGGCATTTTTTCTGAATTACTGCATCAATGCATGATGACATGAAGGCCATTGATCTGCCTGTGGTTCTGCTGAGGTGCTCTGGTTGCTTTAATTAATAGTCCCCTTCATCTCTAATTAGGCGTGACGGGTTCTGAAATGTTCTGATAAATGGTCCCCCAAGCAGAGCGGACTTTAGAAAACCCACTGAACCAGAACCAGCAGATGGCCTGAAAGCACAGGTCTTCACTGACTGTGGAAACTTAAATCAGCAACATGGATTCTTTGCCTTCAGACTCTGAGGTCGTGTTTTCCAGGAAATCCAAACTGGAAAGAGGAGTTTGGACAGCTTGTTAAATGGCCCCCCTTTTAACCTGTGTCGGTTTTTTATTTGATCCGAGACAAAGAAAAATAATTTTGCATTTAAAAGAAACAGTTATCTCATCTAAAGGCCTTCCAGCCATAAGTTAAATAGCAGGCCCTGTCTGCTGTTTGGATTTTAGAAAGTAACCTAAAACTTTCAAACAATTTGATATAAGCTAACTGAAAATTAGGAACATTTTAAATACTAACAGGTTCAATTCATATCTAAATAGACTAGTTGGCATTGGAGAAATCTCTCCTTCAGAGAGATGGATTAATATTTGAACTAAAACAGCACTGATGTCAGACAGACCTGAAATGTGAGCGGTTATGTAGCTCCTGCTGTAGGTAGAGAGTTGTGTTACACCTGTTGTCACGGATGAATTGAAGTGTTAAAAGCCGCTGCTATGCTGCCCTCATCTCTTCCAGACTGATTATCAGAATCCTCATCTGATAATATCTGATTGTTGTATGAAATACGGGCCTCCACCAAAAACCATGACCCTAAATCCCTCCCTGTTCTTCTTTGCAGTGAGTCATACACATCAATATTCCTGATAAAAATCCAGTGGAGTTAAAAATTCAGATTGCAACAAACCGACCTGACTGAGTTCATGCTATTTAATGAGGGACATTTCCATCTGTAGAGGCGACATGCAGTGAAAAACTAGAATGTTGCCACATTAAGGCTGTTTGATTATATAAAATAAGATGTGAAAAACCAGTCAGGTTTTTTTTTTTTTTTTTGGACCTGCAGCAGGTCCAAAAAGGGCATAAAGTTTTGCCATCAGAAACAGAATTTTAATTTTTCTATTAAATTTGCATTCACCTCATTTGAAACTGAATGAATTAGTTAAACCTGATGTGGAATGGGAATCCATGAATCTGTGTTTGATTACTCTGTTGCTTAAAGACCAGGTTGTCCGACTCAAAGAAATAGAATATTTGAACTGAAATAAAATGATAGAACTGACGGTAAAATCGATTTTTTAATAATAAAAGGCATTTCAAATCAATTGAAAATAGTTTCAAACCATTCAAATTTGTCAAACTAACAAACTCAGTTAATTAAAATTAAATCTGAAAAACTCACACGAACAGAAAAGACAATTAGAATAAATGTATTAATACAATCACTTTGTCTTTGGTACTCAGACCTCAGCAGGAAACATAGAGCTGAATTTTGATAGATATGCATAAACAGGAGTAAAGAACAGGGCTGTTTCCCCTCCAGGCCTGAAACTGGTGGTGGAGTGGATTTTTATTGGATAAAAGTTTCTGCCCATATATATATTATTATTACAGTAAATTTTCTTACAGTGTTAAGTGTAAATATAAAATGATGTGTATCTCTGCTGAATCTTTAATTAGTTATTAGTAGTTAGTTTTAGCTGTTTTGCTCATTCTTATTTTTATCCTTAGTTATCTCAAACTCAGTGGTGTAACTCAGGTCTATATTCGGTCACAGTGCCTTGTTTTGCAGATATGCATGTTTTTTTCTTTGTCTTCTGACCCTAGTCACATTGACTGGAGCGGGTGGATTATATGGAAAACAATGGAAACACATCTGCAGTAACTGCTTTTAATCAAATTTGAAATCTAACATAATTTCCGGACAAAATGCATAATTTTAACAAACATACGTTTCTAAATGTCTTCTTATTTGAGATTTGAAGCAACTTTGGGGAAAAAATAGTCTGCGTACTTTTAAAGACTGTTTTCATGTTTTTTAAAGTAGAAGCACTCACATTACTATCTCAAAAGTGCAGCAGACAATTAATGCTTGGCAGAGTAAATGAATAAGGTGGATACCAAGGAGCTGATTAAATGACCAAAATCATTTAGCATGCTTCTACTTTACTTTTAAAATTCAACTCAAGAAAAAAAAAAAATCATTTATGCAAAATAATTGTATATAATAACGTGGTAGTTTTGTTTTGAAGGGTTTTTATTGACTATAAGCAAATTACACCCTTGCTCCTTTCAGAATTCAGCAATAACCTATTAATTCACATTTACATAACCTGTTATATTTTCACTACTTTGGCTTCTTGTCCTTTTAGATTTTATAGTTTTGAAGCGCCAAACATTCAACCCCCTTATTTACAGTATTATGATGCTGTGTTTTTGTTTTGTATTTGGGGTGTTTGTTTTTGTAAACTTCTATTTGCTGAGTGGACACACAAACTTTCCCCCTGGAGATAACTATCATGCAGTAAAGTTTTTGCACAATTTTCCATTGTTTTTATGCTTGATTCCTCTTTTTTTTTCTGTCTGTCCTCTTATTTATCAGCTTTTGAACTTTTCTTACACTTGTTTTTTTTTATCAAAGCTCAGACTTTTTTTAAACAACGTCTCAAATACCTAAAAAAAATGGTGGCACTTCTGATTTTATTGATTGTTAGTTACTTTAGACGTCATTATTTCTTATGTGAAAAGGCCTAAACCAAAAGGAGGAATTAATTCCTGATTAATTTATGCAATTAATTTACTTACTGAGAACATTTCTAGATTAATATTTTTTTCCTTTATGTTTGCATTAAGGATAGGGTCTTAAAAACCACAACTTCTAACTTCACTCTTTGTGTTTTTGTTTGTATTCACATGTTAAAACGTGTTTATTTCTAAACAAAAATCCACAAATGAGAGGTTGCCTTCTGTTTTCTCGTTTCCACAACACTTGCATTATGCAGTAACAAACCGTTTCATCTGTCAGCAAATCAAGCTTTGTCATTTTTATTGCTTTACACGGCATGCTTGCACATGTTTAAAGTTATTAAAGCTTAAATACACAGAGTTAATCCTGTAATTGTAAGGCTTAGGTCCTCTCTTTATATCCACAGGTATGAAAGTCAAAAGCGAAACAGTTTTATTTAGTTTTGCCTGAAACCAAAACATGTATAATTTATTCGTTTCTTTTTTATTACCTCCATTTTCCCTGGTTTTATTTCAATAACACTACAACAATGTACCTTAAAGCAAGAAAAGCCACAGAACTTAGAAAAGCAAAAGTTTTTGTTTGCACAAAGGTTGATGAATAAAACCCGTATCACACCTGCCATTGGGTCTGTGGTTTAGTAGAATAAGAGAAAGAGCTGCAGGTGAGGAGAGGATTAAATGTGAAAACCACAATCTGTGAAGCCTGCAATTACACCTTTACCTTTGCATTTGCAGACGCATCGATTACAAGCTGAAGAGACAAGACAGCACCAAGACACTGCTGATAAAAAGTGAGCAGCTACTGAGGATCGAAGAGCACGACTTCGCCCTGAGGCCGGGCTTTGGAGGTCAGAACCAGAACATAATGATAGCCAAACATCTTTAGTTTAACTGACAATAGCTTTCCTCATTTCACCGCTGATCCCTGATGATTTAATCCACTCACTCATGCAGAGGAAATCACTCCCCAGCTGATGATGCCGGGGCTTTGATGATGGACAATAGGTCACTTAGACAACGGATATGTCAATCCTGAAATCAGCAGCTCTGACCCAGATATCACCAACGTGTGTGGGGGGGGGGGGTGTTAATGCAGTTTCAGAATACAGCAGTCAGCTCACTCTTATTGTGATTGGGACCTGCTTTGTGTCTGTGTGTGCGTGATGTATTGTGGTGTGAGTCGGGGGGATTCGTGAGCATTAATCTGGATTATATTCCAAGTCTGGAGCAGATGGAGGGGTGGGAAACAAAAGGTCAACTGCAACAAAAATAATTTAAGAAAAATATATATAAAATATATATGCAAAAAAAAAAATAAATGCATTTTTTAATGAAGTTGTTAGTTCACTAAAACTGTCATATCAAAACATTTAGATCAATTACAGCAGCTGTAATGATGTTAGAAGACCTAGAAGGCTGAGAAAATGTAGACTCAGTCCCACTAGCTACTTCCAACCAATGTTAAAAGAATGGATGCTGTTCCTCAAGGTGGGACAGTGAGGACTAATTTCTATCAACCAGCATGAAGAAAGAAGCGCTCAGTTCAGGAAATCAAGGAAGACTATTAAAAAAAAGCTACTATGTTACTATGTCTGTCATGAATATGGATGGATGTCCCGGTTATTCTGACAGTAAGTGTTTTTACTTTCACATGAGCGATTGTCTACTTAGGGTTGACATCAGCCAGTCTAAGTTCACTTAGAAAATACATGTTAAGAATGTTTCTATTAAAATAACAGAAGAGCTAATATGGTCCCCAGAGCCGGACTGGGAGATTTTTTCAGCACAGGAGTCAGTAATGTAACCAAGCCACCCTGGCCTGGTTACATGCTGCCCTTCTGAGGCTTTCTGAAGGTAAATCTGTGTTTTATATGGTCCAATATTGTGTCACAAACCTAAAAAAAAATAACAATGTACCAGTTTAATAATGGAGAAGCTATTGGTCTGCTTTATACTTTATATATATATATATATATATATATATATATATATATATATATATATATATATATATATATATATATATATATATATATATATATATATATATATATATATATATATATATATATAAATATATATATATATATATATATATATATATATATAAATATAAAAACTATTTTCTGACAATGTGTTTATTTATGAGCATCTATCCAGATTAACAAACATCTAGAAAAAGTATAAACTATATTATATTATTTTCCATATGAATCCCACATTTTTCATTCTTCTTCAGTCCTAGCTGATATTTATCCATGCTGGGTCAGATCCTGACGTTTGAAAAAGGAGGCAGGGAAAGCAGAATAAAGCTAAATGCTGCTAGCCAAGCCTTTTTGATAAACCAGGTCCTGCAAAAGGACATTTCTTGCACCATTTATCTCTTTCTCTCTCCAATGTGTCTCAAACCCCTGCGACTCGACCTTTCAATCACCTGCAAAAGGTCTGCGTTGTGGCGGGAGGTGGTGAGAAATACACCTCCTGTCACCTCAGGTTGCACCAGAGCTTCGCCCAGAGCTCTCTGCAGAGGAGCTACTGCGCATTGACAAAACTTTTAACGAGAGTCAGTTGATGTGTTTGAATTCATGGGATGTATCCTTCGAAAGGCCAGATTCGACAGATGCATCCCATGAATTAAAACAGATTGATTACGTCATAGCACGGCGCCATGGCCTGGTCGGATTCCAAGACTCCTCGTTATGCGGCCTTAAAATGCGTCCTTCTTTTTGCCCGATTTGAAGGATGGATCCGATGTATCGTGTCTATCCTAGGGTATCCCAGGATTCATTACGAGACCAAGCAAACCGGCTGCTCTATGATCAGAGGAAATGGTACTTGGCACCAAACAGTGGTGAATATTGGAAGTTCAGTTTAATATAATATTAATTTGGAGGTTTTTATCTGTTACTGTGTAAATGGGTTTGGCTGTGATTTAAGGACAGATTCTAATACATCTGCAGTGTGGGGACTATAAATCTGATGGGGTTTTAAAAAATTTTATTGTTGTTTTGCACAATTTGCTTAACTAAGTATTTGTTGTTGTTGAATATTAGAGATTTTACAGATACATTTTTTATAGAATAGAATAGAAAATCCCTTTATTGTCCCACAATGGGCAAATTTACAGCAGCAGGAAGATTATTGAAAATGGTCACATAATAATGTAGAGTTAAAAAATAAACAATAAAATACTGTACTGTAAAGTTTTTTAACAATATAAAACGGTGCACCTGGAGAATAAATAACCAATATACAGCTGTGGACATTTTTACAGTAATGGATATTTGAAAATAACAGCAACATCAGTTATATATAGTTAAAGCAGTGGGTGTTAAATATAGATAAACAGGTTATTGCACAGGGTGTAAAATAGTAATTCCACATCATACATTGCACAAGTTTTCGCTGTTGTAGTGTCACATTGTAAAGTCTGGTTGCAGCAGGGATGAATGACCTGCAGTAGCGCTCCTTTTTACAAACAGGGTGTAAAAGTCTTTTTCTAAAGGAGCTGCTCAGCTCCTCTACAGTCTGATGCAGAGGGTGGAAGGTGTTGTCCATGATGGATGTAAGCTTGGACAGCACCCTCCTCTCAGCCACCTCCTCCATTAAGTCCAAAGTGCAGAACAGAAATGGCCTTTCTCACCAGTTTGTTGCAACAACAGCGTAGAGGAGTGCTGATGCCACCACAGAGTCGTAGAAGCTTTTAAGCAGGACCCTGCTCACTCCAAACGACCTCATCCTCCTCAGGAGATGGAGGCGTCGCTGGCCCTTCTTATACAGCGCGTCTGTGTTATTTACTCCATGCTAATGCTAAATAGCTCTTTGTCACTGAGCAGGCAACTGTGCACTCATTGTCACACCTAGCAAAGCAAAGAAAGCAATCATCTAGTAAACTTACAGTTGTACTTGACATCTTATATATCCTCCCATTAAGAAAATGATAATTTCACAGTAGTAATTGAAATATCACCAAACTGAAACCCATTTACTAAATGATAATTTTACAAATAAAATGTTGATTTTAAATTGTTATTTTGAAAATTCTAATTCTAAAAATCTATCCCAGACAAATCAAAGCACCTTTCTCATGAACCAACATCCCTGTCAACAGGTGCAGAAGTGTGAATAACATGTCCTGAACATTACAGAAAACACCTGATATTACTGACTGCCTCTAAATTTTACTCTACAGAGTTTTAGTTCAGGAGCTCCATCAGGAGCAATTTCATGATATCCACTTCTTATCATTTTTATTTATTACTACTTATTGTCAATTTCTATTTATTTTAATGTCAGCTAATATTTGACATCCCCCTTCCCCTAAACTTTCAAAACAAAAACTCATACATATTATCCTAACAAGTCCATTTTCTGTGGACACCTGTGATTCCTCCATACCAGGAGTCTTTAACGTTTTCCAGACCAAGGACCCCAAAACTGATGGCAAGATGGAGCGGGGACCCGCTAATTATATATATTGTATGGACTTTTGTTATATCAAACTGGTCCTATAGTCACTCTATTACATATGGAGTAATCTAACAAAAGTAATGTCTCCCTGGGATTATTAAAGTATTTCTGATTCTGATTCCTGGTTGAAAAAGCTCCTGTGTGTCGCTGAATGTGAGCATTGATGACTGAAAGACATCTTCTGCCTCCATTTATCTGTTTACTAGAGTGTGTTGAATTCATGTTAATGTGGATTTAAAGACATTTCAATTAGTGGAAAAAATTGCAGGGTGGAATATAAAAAAAAAAGACTAATAAACTAAAACTCGCTGCCCCCCATGCAGTACCTCAGTGGACCCCCTAGGGGTCGCGGACCCCCTGTTGAAGACCTCTGCTCCACACCATCTCTTTCAGAGTTTCTGCTGCATATAACCTCTATGTTGACCTGGATGCATGGGCATGGCTTTACAGTATATCAACCAGCTGTTGTTTTGTCACATATCTAAACATACACATACATAAACTATAAGTTCAAAGGATGAATGAAACAAAATCATTAAATTGAACCCAAACGTTTACCTACACTAATTTTATTTATCTGCAGCATTTAAAAAATCTAAACAAGCCATGAAAACAATATACACAGGATCCCTCTGAACTGAGGACAATAGTAATTTCTTTTTGGGACAGTTTCTTCCTTTTATCCTTCATAATATCATCTTGAACTTATTATTATATTTCCTTAACTCCAATGAAAGGTTGAGTTTGGCAGAAGTTGGACATTTAAAGGTATTTCAATCAGTGATATAATTTTAATCTGCTTAAGTCTAGACATAAAGCTCTCTAAACATTTGCCCCCCTAGATGCTTTCTCTGTTGTAGTTGTGTTTCATCAGTCTGTATATATTTCTGTGGTCCTTCATGACATTCAGGGTGGGGCCACCAGCACACCACTGTCTGCTCCACATCCCAGCGGCATTTCTTTGCACTGTAATTAAAATCTCAGCATATTTCTGTCTCAGATAAGCCTATAGAGTCGGTATATTTGTGTTTGACACAAGCAGGGGCTGAAGATTTAAAACCAAGCCCTCCCCTTTCACCTCAAGGAGCAGCAGACATACCAAAAATACTCCATGTGACATTTAATGTCATTTCTTGCACGTGTTTATGGCTCGTTTCTAAATCTGGGTCAACCTGTGGGATGTTTATAACATTCAAATTAATCTTCTAAAGCTATTTTTTAAATTATGTCTCCAATTTTATTAGCACCACATGTGCAGATTGGTTTCCTGCTAATTGTAGGTACGTTTTAAACTTTGTTTGCCTCCAGCTTCAACTAAATGATTCCATTTCAGATTTTGGAATTCCCTTCAAAAATTTGTTTTAATGTCTGTCCTAGC